GGCCATGACCGGATTCCCGAAACCAAAAGGGGGAAGGGTTGAGGGTTTAGGGTTTTTTCCCACCCGTTTCGCAAGCGTTTGCGTTTTTTTTTTTTTCCACCCGCTTAGCTGACCTCTCGGACACTCTGCAGGGAAGGGTTTGGGGTTTAGGTGGGGGATCAGTACCTGCCCAGGCAGGTCCCCAGTGGAATCATCCGTTCCGCCCTGTTTCGGGAATGCGTGACACTCACGCCGCCCCGAGCACCAAAACAAAATAGTGCGCCTCGTAAGGGTGGGCTGGGCGGGGAAGAAAACACATGCTGCCAGTTTAGCTCTGGCAACTTGTTTGGCTTACACACACTTACACCAAGACCCGGCAGGACTGATGTGCTGGTTTGACAATGATGCATGCGCACCCAATTTTATATATATATATATATACTTATATATACCCCCAAACCGGCAAGCAGAGAAGAACAAATTCACTAACCGCTACTTACTTTCGGCACTTTGCAACCAGACTTCCACGTAGTTGAATGTCTCGTCGCAGTCCATCACGGGGGCCTAGGCTACAGCCTGTGTCTGTGTCTGCTGCTGTTGGACTTCTTAAATTACCGAGGTTGGCACCAGAACTGCGCAAGCGAGCCTCACCACCAGCAAGAAGCTGAACCTCGGATTCACTAGCCACTGCATGTCCGCGGTGCCCACCACGGCTTGCTTTCAGAACAGGAAATCTCTGCCGGCCACGCTGCATGCTGACAGGCGATGCCGAACCATCATCTCCGCGATCACCACTCATTCGGCGGGGCGCATCTAAAGTAATCTCGAACTGTTACTAACAGTGGCTGGGCCAAAAGGCTGCAAAGACCACCGCAACTGTCACGAACGTACTTTGAGTAATGAATGAGCCAAGAAACAGGCGGCATCAGCATACAAGCAGACAGCAGCTCCTCACTCTCCGCTTCGCCGTCAGTCCTCCAGGACAGCTCAGGGCACCAGTCTTCGGCCGGGACGTGTTACAAGCAACACCGAGGATCTGAGTAAAACCGAGTCTTCCGCCCTTTTGTGGCCTTTCGAAACGCATCCTGCACTTCCTCAATTGGCTTGTTGTCACATGTTGACTGCCAATGCAGACGATCGCACAAAGGGGAAGCTCTCCTTTTCTGCCAATGGTAGCGCCCATCTCGCGCGTCGCTTGAAGAGCGGATCAACCTCGGAAGTCAAAGCATCAAGGCGTGACCATCCTGAGTGCTGAATGCCGGAGAGAAGCTGCCGACTTTAACTCCGAAGTCAAGAGGGCGCTTTGCCAGATCCTGTGGTCGTCCTGTTGGCGACAAGGAGCTAGGACATGAGTGTGGCAGCAGTCAACTACCCCCACATGGGCACGTAGGCAGACACCTGTTGTCACCTGTGCCCAGTGCGAGGGATTTCCTGGCGTGGTTTGGGGGTCCAGGATGCCCCCCCGCTCAATGGCGATGCTTTGCTGGCTTCGATCTCGCCTGTGTGCCAAGACTGAAACTGCGCTCAAGCATGCAGATGTAGGCAGGAACCATGTGTTGGTTCGAACGCCGCCTGCTTTCATTCAGATTCAGTGACTCAATTATTCTCTGAGAACGACAAAGCATGCATCTGGTGCGCTGCTCACTCGTATGTCTGGAGCTTTGGTCCCTGCTGACCTTTTGCTTCCCTTTAAAAGTTGCATCTACAGAAGTCTTTGTTCTTTGCCTTTGCCTGTCACAGGAAATGCGACAGTTGGCAGGGTCGGGGGGACATTGTCCTTGACTTCTTGACTGGCGCAGGCCCCGACATCTCGCTTTCAGCTTTCTGATCCGGAGCTGATCGTGCCCTTTTACATGCTTGCGCAACTTCCGCCTCGGATTCCCAGCACCCGGTACGAGGCTGCAGCTGCAATGGCCCTATGTGACTGATTTCAGCGGTGCAGCCACGAACTTACCGTTTCAGCTTATGTCTTCACATGTCCGCCTCTCCTTGGACTCTTATCCAGTGTCGCCTCGTCAGATCACGTCTGAAGCGATACCCCCAGAATCTCTGCCCAAAACCCTTACACCGAAAAGAGGGATTTAGGGTAGGGCGTAAAAGTCTTACTTGACCTTCATGTTGCACTTTGCCTACCGACGCTGGCCAGTTTCGAAACTGCATCGCATTGCATCGAACTGAACCTCATCACTTCGCTCTTTGCTTTGTCTTCACGAACCTGACCTGCTTTTTGCGTCTGGAACTGAGGCTCAGCAATTTTGGGGCTTTCTTTGTCTTTCAACCTGCTTTGCTTTTGCTTTCTCTGCTTGTGCTTCAACTTTTCTTGTGGCTTTGCTTCAGGATGGCCTTAACTTGTTCTTGCCTTCTCTTGTCCTGTGCTTTGCCTTTCTTTTGACTTGTCTTGTCTTTTGTCTTGTCTTGGTTTCGCCTTCAACACTTTCCTTTGCTTCTGTCTTTGCTCCTTGTCCATGTTTTGGCCTTCACTGGTCTTTTCTTCTCTCTTCGCCTGGCTTTGCTTCTGCTCTTGACTTGAAGCCTTCTGCTGTTTTGGGCATGTCTTCATGACCTTCGTGGCTTCCTTTGGCTTGGCATCTTCGCCTCATGTGGCCAACTTCGACTTCTCTTTGGCTTCGCTTCGTCACAGGCTTCGTCCTTGCTCCCAGACTCTCACTAGGACAACCCAATAAGGGAAAACAGCAAGTGTCCCCCCCCCCCCCCCCCCCCCCCCCCCCCCCGATGCGGCCTGCTCCTCGTAGCCTCCGCTTAGCTCACAGAGTCACCGTGGCCAAGACACGCCACACAGCTACTTCTGGGTGTAGATAAACCGCGTATGCCATGAAATCGGAGGCTTCACAACAATCTTGGAATCTTACCATTGCAGATGGGTTCCTTGACTTCAAACAGAGCGATGGCAACCGCCCTTGGCCAGATGTTTTACATGCATGTTTCAGTTGCACTTGCCTCACTTGCTGCGGGACCTGAGCATACAAGCGTGCAGCAGCACAGCTGCCACATCTTTGCAGCTTTCCTAGCGGCTTCCTTTCTGCCGCCTGCAATAACATCACCGGATGCTGCGAGTGAGGCACCACGCAGCAAGTGCCCCATGACAAGAGAAAAAGGAGCCGACTCAAATGGCACGTGTGAGCGACCAACTCTTTTAAGCTGATCTTCTGGCTTCAAGGTTCGGCCTGAACTCTGACAAGGATCGACAGCAGACGTGGTTCTCATCAACTTGGCCATTCATTGAATTTAATTCACGCGCGTCCCACGACGGATGGGTTTGGGCATGCTCGCTCGAAGGGTGTTGGCCTGATCTATGGCATCCATGAACTGGTGCAGTCCTCTTCAAGTCGTAGCACACGGAGCCAGACGAAAAGAACATGCCTCGCAGCCACGTTTGACATTTTCTCCTCCTCCCCCCCCCCAGCTCCCGGCAGTCTTGCCATGTATTGCGCACATTCCCTAAACCCTTTTTGCCGCTGGACTCCTTGCTGCCAGGACCCTAATCCCTGAACCCAAAACCCTAAGGCCCAAGGCCTAAGCCCTAAACCCTTCCCGCTATAAACCCTAAACCGCTTTTTGTCTCAAAGAAGGCGCTTTTGCCACATGGGGGGTTCAGGAAGGCGTCAAGTCAAGGAGCCGCCCCCGGAGCTCATTAACGCCTGCAAGGGCCTTAGGCCCAGTCGGCACTCAGGGAAGGAGCTTTGATGAATGATTGTGTTATTTTCTTGTATATTTCTATTTTCTTGTACATAACTAGTACTATATTCTGGTATTGAGATAGTATTGTGGAAATTACCAGAGCTTCATCCCACGATCCTCCGTTACACTGCGCGCCGGTGTGTCGGCGCTGCATAGTGCCTAGCCACAAAGTTAGCAGCTGGCGAAGAAGTCGTCCCAGCCATCACCGGGATCCTCATAGGCGAGCTCTCGCGGCTGGTCCTGGTCTGCACGGTTCTGCCATGTTCTGCACACAAAAGTCTCGGCACGGGGAGCCACATGCGGGAGTTGAATCGACGAACCTTGTCAAACTGGCTCTGTCTCCCTCATCCTTGCCAAGTCTCATCCGGATTGGAGTAAAAGTTGCTAAGGTCCCTGTTGCTTCGCACGACAGGGGTGTGTGGCGGTGTCATAGTGAAATTCTTCACTGCCTCGGCCGGCTGCGGGTAATACACCGGCGAGACACAGAGCACAAAGGAACTTGCAACATTATGTAACTGTAAGTAAGAAGCACAGCAAATATCGCTTTGCCGCACGGGGTACATTGGCGTCGAAGCCTGTGTACCAGCCATGCTTCCAGAGATTGGATATGCCTCCTGGCAGCACGCAGAGCCGCTTTTGCGGATCGCGAGCGCAAAGCCTTGTGGGAAAACATCTCTGCAAACACAACAAGGGGGGTCTACGATAATAAGGACCCTTAATAAGAACCGCCAAAATAGTAGGATCCCCTAAAAACAAGGGTGCCAAAAAGGTACCCCTGATAGCGTAAACTCCCACAAAGGACAGGCGGTCTGGGAAAGAGATGAGGCGTGTGCCAGACAAACCCTAAACCCTAAACCCTAAACCCTAAACCCTAAACCCTAAACCCTGTGCAACCTTTCTGCCGAGTCTCACTTTCACGAGCTCTTCTACACTCCCAATCATCGCAGCTGGGAACCTCACCTTCTCCTCAAGTCAGAAGAGGCAAGTGCCGGCACTTCTAGTATCACTACTAACGTTATTATTATGATTTCTTATTATTAGCTACTACTATTAGTATTACTACTATTGTTAGTGTGATTATTGTTGTCATTATACAGAACTGATCGCTGGGGAGCGTTTTGATTGGAAAGGAGGTGTGGCTTCATGCGACTTCATGCCCCTCCATGTCTTTCCGACATGCTGCTCCAATGCCACGAGAAAGCACAGCTTCGATGACTAGGAGTAGAATCTCCGAAATGATGTTGTCTCTTTTCGCTCTCTCTTCTCCCTCTTCTCCCTCTTCCTCTTCTTCCTCTTCTTCCTCTTCTTCCTCTTCTTCCTTTTCTTCCTCTTCTTATCTTCTTCTTCTGCTTCCTCTTCTTCTTCTTCTGCTGGGCCTGACGGGCCCCCCGAGGATGTCCCCACGCGCGAGAGCGAGCCTCCGGTCCGGTGTGACACCGATGACTGAAGGCTCAGCGTCAGCTCCTGTTGACTACGAGCGCTCCAGCGTGACACTCTCACCAGGTGCCAACATGCTTTCCCCGGGACCTCTTCCTCCCGCTCTTTCTTTCTTTCTTTCTTTCTTTCTTTCTTGGGGGCGTGGGGGCGAACCCCCTGGCTGTGCGCCTGCCCCGGTATTCGGGGGTCCTCAGTTTGTCTCGGGGACGAGGTCGGGCTTGGCGCTTGTTCCCTTTCACCCAGTCCTTAAGAGTCCTTAGTGCCCTGCCCCCGCTAAGCCCCCTGCTAAGCCCCGCGCCGTGCCCTTCCATTTCTTCCCCGAGTGGCAACACGTAGCAACCTCCCGGGCCTTTCTTGCGAGTTGCCCCAAGGGTCCTAGACTACGTGCTCCCCTAAAACCGGCCCTTTAGCCCCCGGAGGATGTTGCAGTGAGACGGGTAGGCCATCCGTGGTCTCAAACAGGCTGCAAACCCCTATCCGAAGTAGCCCTGCGTCAACCTGAATTCACAGCCCCCAGACAACCTGGAACCAGAGCCTGCAACTCCCCGGCCCCCACGGTGGCTTACGAACTATACTGTGCTGTTGCCCCATGCAAGGATAGACTGGGTTGCCTCCTCGACTGCTAGTCAAAACTCTCGCCCTCAACCTATACTCTTAGTGCCCCCCCATCGTCAGTCAATCCCCGCATGGGCTCGTCCGCTCTCTCCCTCTCTCTCTCTCTCTCTCTCTCTCTCCTCTCTCTCTCTCTCTCTCTCTCTCTCTCTCTCTCTCTCTCTCTCTCTCTCTCTCCCCCTTTCTGTCGTAGTGCGCTGTTCGGGCGCTTGCAAGACACTGGCATAAAACCCCAGTGGAACCCAGACCCGTCTCGGTTCATCTGACCCTATCTGACAAGGGCAAGGACAAAGACAAAGACTTGTTGGGGGTCGGTGCCGATTTTCTGAAGTGATCAAGAACCCCGAAGGCTACCCCGAAGGGTCCCCAGAAACCCCTCCCCCGAAGTTTTTGCAGCGGAACGGGCTCAAGTATGCAGCCCTTGTCACGGCTTGGGGGTGTCATTGGGGATCCCCCTGTATATACCTTTTAGGGGATGATATAAAGGTACCTATATATGTATATTTCTATACATATATACCCTTTAAGGGATTGTAAAGGGTTCCTGCCCTGCTGCTGCCATCTGCTCTTCCTGTGTCGCAAGCAGTGCTGGCCGAGCTTCGATTCCCCGCTCGATTTTGGCAAAGGTCTGGAATGGATACGCAGACTCGAAGGGCGGCCTTACTTCTCCAATAGCCAAGGGAAAAAAGGCTAATTACTTTATGATTCCTACTAGAAAAGGAAGCCCAGAAAGGTTTCTAAAGTTCAGCTGTTGAAGAAGCAAGCGGCTTGCCAGCCATAAGCTCAAAAATCAGAACCCCGAAGCTCCACCAATCAAGAGCGCAGTCGTGCCCGCTTGCCTGTCCAATTTCGAGCGGGCTCTGCTAGCCTACTACTTGCTTAAGAACCCCGACAGAATATGTTAAAGGACAGGATACCCCCACATGCAAAGTTTTCTATTCGCAAAGAGTGTGCAAGTGAATATGAGCGAGAGGGTAAGAGAGTGAGCGAGTGAGCGAGTAGTGTGAGTGAGTGGTGTGGTTTTTTTCCCACCCGTTTCGCAAGCGTATACGGGGAAGAGGTCGGGCCTAGCAAACGCCTAAGTTCGGGTTAAAGTAAGCTCCTAGTCTGTATCGGGAGCATCTGCAGACAGCCTTCGGAGTTCCACTCTCCCTTACAACAACAGCAGCAACAAGAAAGCATACATTCCTCAAGCCCTTACCCAAACCACCACCCAGACCTCAAGGAACTTACTCCGAAGCAGCCATCCCCGGAACTCCCAAAATGCAAAGGCCTGAACCCCCATCCCCCCCCCCAGCTTGCCTGCCCGAGTGTCACATAGGCCAGGGTTCGTCACAAAAGTAGGCTAGACTGGACTCAAGGGGAGGGGCTATAAATGGATGGAGCACTCAGGCAGGTTCACTGTCTTGCGAAACGACGCAAGAGGAGGGGTGGTTGGGTTTCATATCCCCGGTCTCCCAGCATTCAGTTCGCATCTACGGTCAGGACACGCTAAATAACCATACCTAGATGTCAGGTACACTGCCCGGGGATACAACCAGACTACGAGCCTACGGCAGCTCATAAAAGAGATCTCCCAGAAGGTAAGACCCTTCATCAAGCGAAAGTCATGATTCGGCCCAGCGACCAGGTGCGCAGACAAGACTTCCACTCCATCCAAATCGCCAACAGCCGTCACTCGCACGACGCGGCATGCCGCTTTGATGGATGTTGTCCCAATGACTTGATCTGGCACGATAAAGATCTTAACACGAAGACACATAGCGGCGTACCCCGCTAAGCGCTTGAAGGCAGCACCAGGGACATAACCCAACAAGGACAACATGACCAAAGTGTAAGCCAAGGAGTCCTTCAGCTTGTCCATGAGCACAATGGAGTCCTTGAACTTCGGCTTGCCCAACTCACCTGCTGCTCGATACAGGATTCCGGCAGCAGTAATCTCCTCAGAAGCTTGGCCCGTCATGCCAACTGGAGCGGACGCCGTAAGCCCGGCTTCACCGTTAACGGCTTTGCCCGCTTCCTTGAGGACATCCATTGACAAACGAGAGACTCCAATACCTCCTGGAGCTGGCCTCAGCACTGACAATAAAGTCACCACAAGGAACAGGAAAGGCGCTCCGGGCCCGGAAGGTGATGGTGCTGCGACAAACAGCAACATGACAAAGCCCTCTCCATCAGATGCCGCTTGTGATGGACTCTCAGCGATAATCTTCGCTCGTGTAGCATCTAAAAGAGGCCCGACGATGTGAACCTCCTCAGCTTTACCAACCTCTTTGCGGCGAGCGTCCATGGTGGTGACACTCACGAGCGTAATGCAGAAAGTGATGACTGGTCTCAAAAGGCGAGCAATGGCAATGTACATGTACACGACGTCGGCCTCAGATGCATCTCCAGCCGTTCGGGACTCCAAGATCAAATTCAACTGACAGAACTCACTGATACACCGGCTCGCTGGTCTGTCAACAGTCTGGAGGGTCAACATGGTCGGGCCAATGTAGTCCACGTAGACATAAATGGCCAAAGCTGTCGTTGATATACGGCGGCCGGACGGAGTCACGACTGATGACGCCAAGGCCAGAACAATAGCCACGAGAGTGTTCATCAATTCAAACGCACGCCAATCCAACGAAGCGTTTCTCATGGCCAACAAGACCGTGGTCGAAATGCCAATCGCCAACTCAGCCCAAGTGATCGAGATTGGTCCTGCATTCCGCAAGACGCCGTATACAAGGGCAATAATCGCGGCGGCAGTTCCGCCGAGCACCTCAGTGTGGCTGGCATCCATAGACATCCAAGCCCAAAACAAGGCCACCACGCCGATCGTAATGCCCCAAGCACCGAAAATCTTGCGCATGGACCTGTTCTCGGTGAGCCTAGGTAAGGCGGTTGCAGCCATGAAAAGAAATCCGACGGCCAGAGTGCGGAAAGACTCCCAAGTCTCCTGAGAGGGGCCGAACGCCTTTCGATATTCGGCATGGGATCTCACTCCAAGTTCGAATGATGCACTCTCATCGTATGGAATATGTCCTAACACCTCGCCTTTGAGAATGCGTTCTGTCCAGGAAATAGATGGGCGTCCCTTCTTCGTTTTTGGATCCAAGGAACGGCCAGCACGCCCTGGAATCTTGAACGAGGTGTCTTGACCGAACCCGTAGATGATCGCCTCTTGCACTGGCCATAGCTTGTAGATGAAAGAGTCGACTGTGCTAGCCTCCAGGGTTCTCTCTCGCCACTCCATCTCAACAGCCAAAGAAGCTGCAAAAGAATGACCAACATAATCGCAATTGGTCAAGGTCACTGCAAACGGAATGCCGACAAGGCAATTCTGGACCTGGGACGGCCTGATATCCGTAGGATCATTAACCGCACCTCCATCATCATCATCGTCGTCATCCTCTGCCTCATTGACCATCACTCCACGAACTCGCCGGTAGCAGACTTTCGTGCCGTTGAATTCAGGAGGTGGAGCAACAAAGAAACGGACGTCGTCACCAGTCGCGTAAGCTGAACTCATAACACCACGACCCTTGGTGAACACGATGTCTTGGTCCAAAGTAACGAGCAAGCCATACGCCAGCGCATCCTGCCGGCTCAGGACCCACCAACTTTGGCATTTTGGTGCACCTGCTTGGCTTAGTATCAAAGAGGACCCTTTGACCTTTTGGGACGACATCACCTTGAACCTTCTGCAATAATCCATTAGGGAGATAATCACCTGTCCTCCATAGACTACCTCCCATCTCAAAGATGCCAACATCTGAGACTCCAGCCAGCTCAGACTCCACATTTGGAATCGACCCACTGGCGACGATGGAATCCAAAAACGCAAAGGCGGTTTGCGCGGTCGCAACCCGCACCACACCTTTCGTCTGGACTGTGTCTGACGCCCCACCAGACGCCGCAATCCAGTATGAGCAGGCCAATGCCATCGTGGACACGGATCCTGGATCAAATCGACAAGCGTCAGCATTTGCTCGTTCACACTTCTTCAAACAATCGCTGGGAGACGATGCGGTGAAAGATCCGGCAGGGGCGGCCTTCGGAATCCTCTTCCCTTGAGCTTTGGCCATAATCTTGCGTGTCCGAACCAATGACCAGGGGGGACGATGGACCCATCCTGGTCTCTCACACACAGAGGACGTCCCAAATCCGTGCAGTCAACCGACCCAACGGGCTCATTGAAGATAATGTCTCCTGGGGTAGTATAGATAGCGTCGACCACCTGAGCGCCAGAGTTGGGGTCAACGCCAGACGACGAGTGGCAAATCATGCAATTGCCATCAGTGCCAAACGCGACCTTGATGGGGCGCGAACTCCCGGAAAGAGTCACGCCGGCTATGTGGAGGCACTCATCCAGACTAAAGAAAGGATCCCGGACTGAAGGCGCGATCGCCTGAATAGCACTGGTGACCGTGCTATTGAGAGGGGCGTAGACGCGCGACCCTGGATTGCCGACAACCATCCAACGGCTCAGCGCATTCGTATCTTCGCCTACAGGGTAAGCCAGCGAAACACGGCAAGCTTGTCCCGGTGAAGATTTGACAATCAAGGCTCTCTCAGTCACCTTGGTGGCTGGTAGGCCACTGAAAGAGACTTGATCACGCGAAGGAAACCAAGACGGTGGCGGTATCACCGGGGCGTCAATCGCGGTCGACGCCATCAAAAGACGGGCCAACTCATCCAGATGCTCGACACGCAGATCGACATCGGCTGGGCTGTGCGACACAATGCGGCCTCCACCACTCGCTTCAACATGACGGACAGCTACTGGCGCAAACGTCCACGGAAATTGGGCGACGGAGTACGGTTTGCCAATCGTCTCGATAAAATCTTCTGGGTCGAAGCTGAATCCTCCATTGGGCCTCACTGATGACCGCATAGAAGGTTGAAATAATGGTAAAAAAGAGCATGACACAACACATCTCTAACATACCGATCAGGACAGAGGATACTGGACTCAAGAATCCAGCTCAAATAGGCCAGCAATTGCTGAAACCAACGGTGCGCAGTTGCGTCACCTTTGAGACCCTCAAATCCCTCACAGTTCTTGATGCGCTTGAGCCAAAATGGCTACGGGTTTAGGGTTTAGGGTTTAGGGTTGAGGGTTGGGTTTGGGGTGCCTGCCAACGTTGCACAGGTCCAGGGCCCCTAAATGTCGCGCCTGCCAACGTTCCCGAGGCGCGCGCGGCACCGGTCCTTTTCAATGTCGCGCCTGCCGACGTTTCATAGGTCCAGTGCCCTGAATGTCGCGCCTGCCAACGTTCAACGAGGCGCGCGGCACCGGTCCAGGGCCTCAGGGCCCAATGCATGTCGCGCCTGCCAACGTTTAGGGACCCTAAATGTCGCGCATGCCAACGTGCCGGAGGCGCCCTGCCAACGTTTAACAGGTCCAGGCCCCTAAATGTCGCGCCTGCCAACGTTCAACGTTCCCGAGGCGCGGGCGGCACCGGTCCAGGCCCCAGGCCCCCTAAATACGCGCACAGCACCGGTCCAGGGCCCAGGGCCCCTTAAATGTCGCGCCTGCCAGCACAAGCGACACCTGTGTTGGTGAAGAAGGTGTGTGCATAGTGCGTGGTGCGTGGTGTGTGCGTGTGTGCGTGTGTGCGTGCGTGCGTGCGTGCGTGCGTGCCTGCGTGCCTGCGTGCCTGCGTGCCTGCGTGGTTGGTGTGTGTGTGTGTGTGTGTGTGTGTGTGTGTGTGTGTGTGTGTGGGTGTGTGTGTGGGTGTGAGGGTGTGTGTGTGTGTGGGTGTGTGTGTGTGGGTGTGTGGGTGTGTGGGTGTGTGTGCGTGTGTGCGTGTGTGCGTGTGTGCGCGTGTGGGCGTGTGTGCGTGTGTGCGTGTGTGCGTGTGTGCGTGTGTGCGTGTGTGCGTGTGTGCGTGTGTGCGTGTGTGCGTGTGTGCGTGTGTGCGTGTGTGCGTGTGTGCGTGTGTGCGTGTGTGCGTGTGTGCGTGTGTGCGCGTGTGTGCGCGTGTGTGCGCGTGTGTGGTGCGTGTGTGCGTGTGTGCGTGTGTGCGTGTGCGCGTGTGCGCGTGTGCGCGTGTGCGCGTGTGCGCGTGTGTGCGTGCGTGCGTGCGTGCGTGCGTGCGTGCGTGGGTGCGTGTGTGCGTGTGTGTGGGTGTGTGCGTGTGTGTGCGTGTGCGTGCGTGTTGTCGTGTGCGTGTGCTTGGCGAGCGTGCGCTGCGGGTGCGGGTGCCGGGTGCGGTGCGCGTGCCGCCGTGCGCGTGCGCGTGCGCGTGCGCGTGCGTGTGCGCTTGCGCGGCGCGTGCGGGTGCTTGTGCGTGTGCGGGTGCGTGTGCATGTGTGCGGTGCTTGTGCGCGTTGCGCGTGCGCGTGTGCGTGCGCGTGCGCCGTTCGCGCGCGCGCGCGCGCGGCGCGCCGGGCGCGGGTGGCTCTCGCGTTCGCGCGTGCGCGCGTGCGCCGGCGCGCGTGCGCGCGTGCGGCGGCGTGCGTGCGTCGTGCGTGCGTGCCGTGCGTGCTGTGCGTGGCGTGCCGGCGTGCGTGCGTGCGTGCGTGCGTGCGTGCGGGGTGTGTGTGTGTGTGTGGGTGGTGTGGTGTGGGTTGCGTGTGCGCGTGTGCGCGTGTGCGCGTGTGCGCGCGCGTGCGCGTGCGCGTGCGCGTGCGCGTGCGTGTGCGCGTGCGTGCGTGCGTGCACGCACGCCTCTGTGTGTGTGTGTGTGTGTGTGTGTGTGTGTGTGTGCGCGTGCGTGCGCGTGCGTGCGTGCGTGCGTGCGTGCGTGCGTGTGCGTGCGTGCGTGCGTGCGTGCGTGTGTGTGCGTGTGCGTGCGCGTGTGTGCGTGTGTGTGTGTGTGTGTGTGTGTGTGTGTGTGTGTGTGTGTGTGTGTGTGTGTGCAACCGCTGTTCCCACGCGGCACGAACTCACATGTTCCTGCTTTGGCTTCAATGACATTCTGTTGCTGTTCTCATGGATCAGTCGGTTTTCGCAGTTTTTCCACTACACGAAAATACAAAACCTACCGGGGGGGGGGGGGGGCGGGACGAACCATAAAACAGAGCTACCCGTTGCCTTGGATGGGACTTGACGTGAGCCCAACAGCAAGGCACGGGACCATCGGAGTGACTTGGTGAGATTCCAACACAGGACGTATCGGCAGGATTGTGACTTAGATGTGACTTGGCGTGCTTTTCAACAGCAGGGGGCGCGAGGTGCTTTGACATAGCTCGCGCCAACGAAGCTCTATGTCATCGGACAGGAAAACGTACCTGCGCGTGGAGTACCTGGGCAATGTTGTTGCAGCTGGTATCCACTACAGTGCTTGTGACATCATGTGCCCTCAAGACCCAAAGCCTTTTCTCAAGCAATTTCAATTCTGAACGCTTGGGATGGCCTGCACCTTGGGACATCGGCACCTTGGATTGCACAACTACGATGGGAGCATCCTAACAGCCACGGAGCCTTGCTTTCCTCCAACCCCATGAGCGATTTTGTTTCAGTCCATGTAGTAAACATGTCCCCTCAGTGCAGCGATTGAAGCGCTGTGGGTGTGGGCTGGTGCCCTGGACATCAGGGATTAGCATCGTTGCCTTCTTGGTTTGGGGTCTTTTCAATTCAGGTAGGAGCCTTCGGAAAAACCTACAAACCCCCACTAAAAATAGACAATCCCCCTCTAAAAACAGACAAAGCCCCCACTGGAAACAGACAAACCCCCACCAGAAACAAACAAACCCCCACTAGAAACAGACAAACCACCACCAGAAACAGACAAACCCCCCACTAGAAACAGACAAACCCCCACTAGAAACAACCAAACTGCCACTGCACTCCAAAGGACAATTACATAATCCGCGATCCGATCCCACCAAAATCCTACTCAAATCCCACCAAGCTCCCACTTAAATCCCACCAAGCTCCCGCTTGAAGCCCACCAAACTCTCACTTAAATCCCACCAAACTCCCACTCAAATCCCACTTTCTGGCTCCGGGTGCGCGGTTCCCGCCAAAAGCCCACACCAATCCCACGAAAATCCCATTTAAATCCCACCAAACTCCCACTGAAATCCCACCAAACTCCCACTTAAATCCCACTTTCTGGCTCCGGGTAAGGGTTCCCCAGACCTTGCATGAAAACCTTACCCCACCCAACACATACAATGGACTGTGATGAACCCGAAAAAAACATCACGGTTTCCCACCAAACTCCTTCGAATTTCCCGCCACATCTTTGGACGGGAAATTGGCAGGATTTGCATGGGACACATGCGGCTTCAGGCCCCCGTGTTACTAAGGTGAAGAAGGCTCACTTGAAGAAGCACGAATGCACTTTCCAGAGGATACCACAGAATGGGTAGCTCATGGCCCTCGTGGCCCAAAATAAAACCATGCTGTCGTCAGTGTGTGGTGCGTCCATGGTGAGGAGGGAGGAGGAGCGAGGAGCGAGGAGGAGCAGGAGGAGGAGGAGGAGGAGGAGCAGGCCCCAAAAGTACGAACCCCACACAAAGATGTGGGGAAAATATTCTTCCTTAAGGGTAATATAGGGATTATTAAAAAATGGGGTTCTTAAGCAACTAGTAGAAACACAGCATGCGAGACAGGGTCGGAAATTCCACAGGCTGCTGCCTTGCCTTGACCATTTCTGGCGCAAAGTAATCGGGCGTGCCTACGATCGTGTAGGTGCTTCCGCTGGCGAATTTGGCCGAACCCATGTCCTTCGCACCATCCGACCAGCTCGAGTAGCACTGGGGTGAGAGGACGAGTTGCAGAAGCGTAGGGTGCATAGTGCATAGATGTGTAAGGTATGGAATAGTTCGAACGTGCGCAAGCCCACATGAATATCCATGAATATCATGAACCAGGCATCTGTCAACTTGAGGCAACCTTTGTGGTCCAGAAGCAGATTCCTGAGTCAGACATGCAAAGCGTGAGCCATCAAACAGGTAGCAGCTAACAAGGTGACTGCAGCTGCAAGTGAGACTCTCAGGCTTCAGGTCCCTGTAAATCACCCGGCGATCATGCATGTGCTCAAGAGCGTGTGCAACGCCAGCCATGTAATACCTTTCAGAGAGAAAGCGTGCAGGGTAGACAAGGTCGAGCTGTTATAGTACACCTGCTGCTTCCGCGACCTTGTGTGCGGCTCGCTGCCAAAGAAGGCATGCTTTTTATAGGTGGTGAAGAGCTCGCCCCCCAATGCGGCCTCAACGGCAGCATAAGGGCACAACCCTAGCCCAAAGCTCGTCCTGGTTCCCCTAGTTCCTGAACGTTGTGTTCTTACCTGGGGTGAAGGGTATCCCTTCCAACTGAATGGGGCCTCCAGCAGGAAGCACAGCGTGGACTTCAAGTTGTAAGTCTCCTGAGTTTGACGTTCGTTTCAGGGGTTTAGGGTTTCAGGGCTTTCAGGGCTTTCAGGGGTTTCAGGCGCTTCAGGGGTTTCAGGGGTTTAGGGGTGAACTCTGTCCAACTTTCCTTGACGGAGCCAAGCTGCAAACAGCTTGATGATGAACGGCGAGCTGGTCATGTAAAGGACATCCTTCTCATTCGCAATGGCAGCCTTCATGTGCGCCGCAGCAATGTAGCCTGGCCACGTTGCAAGCACGAGGAGCACTTCTGAATTCACATTGCTGTCTGCGTGCCCAAGCCACCTTTGCTGATCGATTTCAGGGCATACGTATTCCCGGTCTCTGCATGCTGCACCAGATCCACCGTGGAATATCCACCGCCTTCAAGAATTTGGCCCAGTAGTTGAAAGTTGACGCTGCTGGCAACACTAAAAAGTGGCGACAAAAAAAAACCCACGCATAAATGTCATACCGTGCTTGCCGGCTGGGTGGCAGCCGAAGCGTCCACATTGAACGAGCTCCTTGTGCAAGATCTTGTCCTTCGTCGGAAAGATCGAGTTGCGTGGCGTTTTCCGTGGCTTGACCAGCGAAAGGGGTCAACGTGGGTCGACCTACCAAGCTGCCGAGACTCCCGCTCCGGATCACCTCGGCGAATCTTTCACCCTACTCGAGACTCTTTTGACATGCTGCTGAGAAATATGGGAGAACATCCAAATCTCCTTGCTTGCCATGCTGCCAGGATGATGAGCCTTCTTCTTTTCTGCCTGAAAACCGAGGAGCAAAGCATTTGCCATGCTGGTGTATAGCTCGTGTGTAGCTCATGTGCCGCAAAGGCGCCAGGCCAGTGAGGGACTTCAAGCCATTCCTTGCAGTCTCTATGCACAACTGCCTTACACGAACATGGTGCGCTTCTGAGAATGGTGGGTGATCTCTGAGGTGGCATCTCGAGAACCTCTTTCAGCAGGCCCAGGTGCTCGTCAAAAGCCTCCTGCGCTCAGAAGCCAGAACCTTCGCAAAAGCATCCTGAGATGCTACCACGGAATTCCGAGTCCTTGTCCAGCATAAGGCACCGGGCGGACTGCAACCACAAAAACAGCTGCAAGAAGGCTCCCACGAGCAATAGCAACAGCTTACCAACTACTTTTTCCCCTCTGATCCCGGCCTCTGAGACCACCCTCACTGTGGCGGCTCGGGGCTCTTGGTATAGGAGGGCCCGCTCCCCAAAGTAGGGCATGGTGTTCTTCGCCTCTGGGCCAGGTTGCCGGGTTAGAGGTTGGACGGGAAGTACTTGCATTATAGCATGTCCGAGCACGCAAAAATGCAGGGGGTGAAGGCTCGTCTTCTGGGGCTTTTGTGTGAAAGTTGCGTGTGGCAAGCGTACTTTGTGTGAACCCGCAAAAATGCTCCAGGCCCATGGGCAATGTGCAGGCTCGCTGTCGATCACTGAAATTCTGCAGGCATGGGGCAGCATTGGCTTCGAGCTCACCGGCGATCAAACCATCCTTGATAACAGCCACCTCGACGGCTCATAAATCCCATTTAGCATCGGGGTTTTCCGAAATTCGGGGCACCTTGCTGGGGTCCTTGTTTAGAAGGGGGTGCTGCTATTTGGATCTATATTGGGGGGGTTCCCTATTTTCGTGAACCCCCCCATATTTCGGCATGTCCGAACGCGCAGCCGCATGCGGACCTTGCCCTCGACCAGTATGAAGAAGGTATTCCCCGGAGCCTCAGCTCCGTTCGTTGTATTGGTGGGGGTGAAGGGTGGGGATGGGCGGCACATCCAAGCAAGGGCTTTGAACAGCTCATCTGAAAGAATGTGTGCGTGTCCCCTGTTCCGCAAGCCCAAAACAAGATCCCAGACAGTTGCCCCAGAATTCTGTCGTGCATTTGGGGACATGTGGGGTCAAGCCGCTCCCTGTTCCACGATGATCTCCTCAGAATTGAACATCACATCCACAATGACATTCGCCATGTCCGTTTTCTCTTGGGTCAGAAGGGGCATCAACAATGGCACTGTGGAGAAGATCTTGACGTATTCCAGGCGCTTCTCCTCACCATGCGGCAGCTACACCAGTCCCTGGCACGCGGGCTACCGAAAGGAAAAGCGCACCAGGTTTCCTCACTGATTGGCATGATGATCTGCTTGAACTGATGGCCTGAGTTCTGAGAAGTCTTACCCGAGCTTCTCTGGCCTTTTCCGTTGGTTCGTAGGGAATGAGGGAATGAGGTACCCTATAATAATTCCTTAAAGGGTGTTTATAGGGGGATATAGGGTGCCTCATTCCCTCATTCCCTACTACCCAACAGTATGTGGCAGATCCGGGGCTGAAGTAGCCGAGCTACGGTCGACCACCCAAACGTTCGCCTCGCTCGTGCAGATGACCGTCGCCCGCCTTTGTCACGGCAGCGTGGTGGCGCTGGTCAAGGCCAAGCCCTCTGGGCTGGCTACTACTACTGTAGGATGGGCTTTTCTGGCCTTACAATCCCCACAATCAACCCTATAAAGGGCCTTTTTAAGGGGGTATAATAATCCCCATGTTCAACCCTATAAGGTGCCTTTTTTTAAGGGGTAAAAAGGGCGTAATAGCCCATCATAGCCCATCGTGGTAGGTTTGTGCGCAACATGGCTCAGCCAAGTTCGAGCTGGCCACCGTGGAACCAGAAACAGAATGGCGAGCTCGCCAAAAGTGTGTCCTCTTCGCAGCACATCCACCACAGTCTTCTTGCCTCACCCCATCTCACACACAAGGGGTTTAGGGTTTGGGGTTTAGGGTTTAACCCTAAACCCTAAACCCGGACCAAGACTTTACACGACTTACACAATGGGTCATATTTGTCCGAGAGGCTGTGAACGATCTCCCCAGGCCCATGCTGTCCCCCAAGCCTTGGCCAAAGCAAAGCCACAAAGTCTCAACGAAAGTCTCCAGCATGCAGACAAAGGACTTCTCCGTGACAATCACTTCAAACCTGGGATTTCTGCATGTTAGAAGGACGTGGTCCGGAACGCAACCGGAAAAGTGTGGCAACAATGCAATGTTAGCAGCCAGACGGGTCAGGTACAGTTCAGAAGTACAGTGCAGCATGCGACGCAGCCATGCTATGTAGCCATGCCGCGCTCCTGATTCGATGATGTAGAACGATTCCGCTCCAAGGTCGCCCTCGCGGATGAGTCTTCTTCCGGGCCTTACCCCACATGGGACTTAAGACCACCCATGCCAGATGGGGGCACCGCTGCCTGCACTGAACTTCAGCATGTTTTCAACTCGATTTTCAACTGTAGACAAGCGACATGACCTTCTCTTTCCACATTGCATCTGTCAGTTTGGTCATCTTCTCTTCCGACATGGCGCTCATCCCGCCATTCAGGGTCTCACTGTTCAGCAAGGCTTCCCTGCAAAGAGCAAGTGCGAGTACTTTAACTGGCCTGCATACGGCAGCTAACAAGCTCACTCCCTTTGCGTCTATCACTCCCCAACCATAGAAGCACCAAACACACCATCAGCTTTTCAGGCCATTCCGGCCTTATGAACGTCTTCTCTGCTTCAGTCTTGTCTGTGGGCGGGTGAACTTTACCTGGATGGGCCATCGAGAACACTCTGTTTCCAAGAAGCCCGACAACTGCCACATGCGCAAGTCTTCATCTCATCCATTGAAGTGGTCCAAGGCACGGCTCTTGGCAGCACCTAAGAGGAGGCTGGACATAGGCTATGTTCAACATAGACTGCAAATTGATTGAGGTGCTACATTCCCACTCCTGGCTCAACTCAACGGAAAGTCGGAGGCTTCGCCGTGGCCCTGCTGGTTCCGAATGAATCTGGGGCGTTGCTCAAAGTGACCACCCTGAAAGTGAGCCCAGCTGCGTTGCGCTTTGCGATCTGCGAACGTCAGCTTCTCTTTGAGTCCGAGTTCTTCGAAGTGCTGGCAGGGCTTGCAGGCACAAATAAGTCGGAGACTGCCAGGCTTTGCCAAACTGAGCCTTGCGTTGAATCCTCAGGCACTCCACAAAGGTCTGCGTGGTGATCGTTGCTGTGCGCGCCTCCTTAGATGCATGAGAAGGTGAAATGGCACAGGAGGAAGTGGTGTAACACAGGAGGGCAAGATAGAGATTACCCAGTTTAGTGGACGAACATTGGCGGACAAGAAGAAGCGCCATCGCAGCAAAGTGCAGCAACGTGCTGGAAGCGAGCAGTGATGCAGCTAATTCCGAGTCTCATCCGCAAGGAGGGCTTTCTCGCCAAAGTAATCACCTGGCCCCAATCTTCCAACCACCTGGAGATGGTACACACAAGCACAGTTCTCAAGTAGTAAGGCAACCACGGCCTGACCCCCTGAATCTGTGTAAGAACATGCGTCGTGAAGAATGGTGACGTGAAGGCGGCCTTCTCCCCCTTGACAGTCCTCACCGTCACACTCGCCTCTCCCTGCCGCAAGACGTAGAAATCATCACCAAGGTCCCCTGCAAGCCCACGGCCAGTCAAGATGCTGACATTCGAGAAATTGCAGATGCTGACAGACATTGGGAGACAGTCACAAGACAGCCCTAAACCCTAACCCCAAACCCTAAACCCTATAAACCCTAAGCCCTAAGCCCTGAGCCCTAATTAAACCCTAAACCCTAAACGCTAAACCCTAAACCCGCTCACGCTTCAGAGGCTCCCTCGCGCATGATGATTGAGTGGGGCTGGAACTTGATGGATTTTGCAGCTTTCGCCTGAGGCTCTGGAATTGTCTACTAGTTGCTTAAGAACCCCGAAAAGAATAAGAAATAATAATGAGTATGTTAGACTTACAAGGGAGAATAGTTTGTATTGTTTGGGGGGGGTGTGAAGCAATTAGCAGTTGTCGTATCAACTGATATACAGTATAATCATATTATAACGACGGTAGAGAATAGTAACATGCTACAAATAGTAGAAATGCATAAAGCCAAAATAGAATGAGACCCACATGACACTTTTCACGGGCCAATGCACCATGCTTGCCTCTTGCAATGGGGTCAGGTTCTGGTGCGCACTTCCCGACTGACTTCAAGGATCTTCATGCATTCCAAGGAGCTACCAGAGGTTGCTGATCTAAAGGCAGCCTTTTCAGCAAGGGCACCTGGAAAAGAAGCAAAACATCGGGGAAGCTAGCCCCGCATCCCCACACGGGCCCCCCCTCAGGGAACACACCCAAACCATGCCTGGAAGAGAAACCGCACTTTGTCCTGGTATTCGGTGTTCTCAGCATAGTACCTGCAGGGACGGCCCATGAAACCAAATGCGCCTGCCACCTTCTGCTACCTCCTCCGTGCTCTCGGCCTCATCAACTCCTGGGCCTTCTTTTGCTTCAGCTCTTTTTTGGCTGCCTTTCGGCCCAGCTTCAGGGCCTGGGGTGCAAACGAGCTTGAGCTCAAAGTTCACCCGTTTCCACCATTTCAAACCCTGAACCACGTTGCTGCCCAAGGTTCGGCTGCATGGGCTTGGGCCCTACTGAGATACATCGCGCCGGCTCCGGCCCCCATTGTCAATAGCTTGCAACGGTCACGCCATCAGGTCACTCAGGCCACTGTGCCGGCGGCACATCACCATGGCATCTCTACATTCGACATGAAACTACCGCAAACCAATTGCCAAACCATGAACTTTGCATGAACTGGATACCCGGGACTCACAAAGTTCATGCTGGGCTGCTTCATGGCGAGTTGTGAAACGGCTGGGTTAATTATGACCTGCACACAGTTGAGCCAATCCATGATTCGAGCACCGATCTCTGTGGATTCGCGGCCGTCCCTGCAACATGCTTAGAAGGCTTAGATGCTTAGGCTTGGGCTTGCATGGGCCACGCCCTTTCAGGAAATCTGGACCTTGGCCCAGCTGCAACGTGCATAGTGTGCATTTCTTGCTGCCGAGAACGCTTGGGCCGATGCAATCGCAGTTTGGGCAGGTGCCGATGTCTACGGCATAAACCTCCAGGTTGTGCGGGTGTTTTCACGGTAGACAACCTTACCAATTAACATCCTAGCTGCTGGCTCTCAGTATACCTGCCGAATTCTGAGATCTGCACATTACCGGTGCTGCCCAAAACATGGAAAAGAGCTCCGGGTCCTTTCCGATACCGACCGAACAAACATATTTGACACACAATCAAGCCGGACTCTCAACATTGTGCCGAGCGCGCAGTTGGCGTCCAGCGCGATGCCGTTCAGAATCCAACCTGAAGCCGCAAAGCTTTCAGATGCTGTTCGGCCGACATCTGTACTGATGTGCTTGCCAGCATCTGCATCAGGAACCGGGCAGGTAGAGCCGCTGTTCCAGGGCTCGTTCAATTCGGTCACCTGGGGCGAATGTGTGAGAACATGTTCCGGCTGCAAGGCTGCTTGCTGCAAGACCACTTTGCTTGCTCAATGCAGACTGCCCGCGACCACCCCACGACCCACTGGGACCCCCGCTGGAACCCAGGTACTGGTATCCTGGACCCTAAATCCTGTTGCTGCTCTTCTTCTCATGGAACCTGTTTAGCCCCATCATCCCCCCCCCACGGTCCCAGTGCACTGTGTGCCACAACAGGAAGCATCAGGGATGCCGGCGGGTTGGGGGGGGGGTCGGGCGAGCCAGCGTTTACAACTAACCGTAAACCTGAACAAAACACACGGCTTTTTTGACAAGGAAGAAAATATGTCGAGCGGCCGTCCGACAAAAAGAAACACTTTGGCCAGTGGAGCACTACAGCGCCGGAGATAAGAAAACCTGAGCCGATGCAACAAACACAAGATACACCAACAAGCACCGCCCCAAAAAAACCGCCACCTCGGGCAAATCCACGCGTCGCAACAACTGCAACCATGTTTTCACATGTTTCTGAAGCCGCTGCATGTGGCAATGCTCGGCTGACGTCTAAACTTGGCCATCCGGGTCTCCTTGGTGCGCCGTGGCAGGGTCTTTTTTTGTTATCTTTATTGCTGCCCTTTCACGCCATGCTTTGGGATGTTCCCCCTTATACGAACAGTTCTTAGCAGGGATCATGGTATGCCCCCGATTATAGTCCCTATTAGGGACTGCTAGTACAGTACAACGGGGGAGCCATGCACTTCAATCACGCTGGTCCTGAGGAGTCGCTGGCAGTGAGGAGGGCGATCGTCCTGGGCAAAACCAAGCAGCTAAACGCTGCCAAAAACTCATGGGACTGCGAGCGCCGTGATTTGCAGGGATTTTTGTGCGGTGCTGATACAAGGGAGCACGGAGTGGTTCTGAGTCATGTTGTCTCAAGGGGCACCCAGAAGTGAGCATTGAAGTTCTGGCGTGATTCAAAAATGGATTTCGGAACACGGTCTGTCAGTGTGAGAACAATCTTCTCTTCTGTGGGCAAGAAACAGACAGCGGCACACCCCATCTCCTGTCCGGAATAGATTGCACAATGGGCTGGCCTTCCCTGAACTGGCGACCCTTTTTGCATCCCCGGGGCGTCGGCTTGGATTCGGCCTGGACAGCTCCTTCTCGACCACTTTGCGTAGAGTAGAGGCTTTTGCAGAATGAGCGATCGAAGCTTTATTGACTTTGTGCTGGAGGCCTGCGTCGCACAGGTCTGGTGGTGAACGGCGTGGAATTTTCAGCGGGGTTTTCTAGAAATGAAACTTGACATTAAATATTACGCGTTCTTCACCACATGCCTTCACGGTAAACTTCGCCAACAAACATCGCCGCAATCGCCGCCGAACGGCGGCAAAAGAAGCTGAAACTCATCAGTTTGCTGACAAGGACGTCACCGAACCGCAGCGAATCCCATGGACGATGGCAGCGCTGCTGTGCCCAGCTGCGAAGGGGCGTGCTGTGGCGAAGGAGATGAGCATGACCAGCGCAGCGCTTAAGCGGAGATGCCAGCGGCCCTCGAGGAGGGAGGGAAGGCCCGCGCTCGGCACCGAGCCAGCGGACGAAGTTGGCGGACCCATCTCTTAAACTGCACATTGCAATTGGGGGAAAAACATTTCCGATTTGATTTTTGCGTTGTGTGCCTTTTTTGTCTGGGGCTCGCCATTAAAGAATATCAGATGAAGGAAGAGCACGCGCCATTATTTGATGTCGTCAAGGCTCAGTGCCGAGCTCGGGTCGTCCCATCCTCCGCGACTCCTCGAGGGCCGCTGCCATTTCTGCCTTTACGCTCCAAAATCTCCTTCGCTGCAGCGCGCTCCTTTGCAGCTTGTCTCGGTGGGGACTCGCCGCTTGCCAGCGATGTCCTTGTCGACTCGTCCCTGCCTCCATTGCCAGCCGCATCCCGTAAGCGCCACGAGCCTAGCCTTGGGCCGGGGTTGCACAGGGACCGCCCCGACATGCGGAAAAAAGGGTGCGAGAAACAAAAATCACGAAACGAGGGGGAGAGGCGCAGCACAAAAATGTCGCTGGACATGTCGAAACAAGTCTTTGGTGTCAATTTGTAAAGCTGAATGAACACAAAATCTTTGTCTCATGTTGGTCAGTCACATGTCCTTGTAGGACCGCAGTCTCGACTCGAACGGGCAAGGCAGAAAGGGTGGGTGGTCAACGGCTCTGAAACCCCTAAGCCCTTCAACATTCGCGCAAGTGTGCGCCAAGGATGTGTCTTGAGGCCTCGGTCATTTCGTGATGTCTTGGAATGGGCCATGTGTGGTCCTGTGTGGTTTGAAATTTCTCTCGGTCATTTGCACGGGGTGCACTTGCAACAGCATGCGTGCCGACTGGCGGATTTGCGGTTCGCCAGCTGTGCTTTCTCTCCAACAGCTGCGCAGGTCATCGTAAGACTTATCAGCAGAATTTATGAATGGCGACAAGTACTTCGTACCATGTTGGGCCGCCTGCTGGGCTTGATATGGCTTGATATGGCTTGATTGGAGTCGCCCTTGCCAGGGGCCAGGGGACTCCATTCCAAGGCGCGAAATCAGCTAAACGCCGCTTTTCAGCTGCAAAGTTGGCCGCGAAACTGTCTTCGGCACTACTGGAATTTTAACTGCTGCCCCTGCAAGGCAACTTTAAAGCCTATTACCTATACTCCCTTTAGAACCTTAGTAACAATAAAATAATTTGATATCCTCTTCGGTTTTATACGAACAAAAAAACCCAAGGAGATACTGTTACGACCGCGCCACGCACATGTGATTCGTCGTCAATGCTGAGGCTCGGGCTTCGTTTGCCTTGCTTTGCCGGCACCTGCCTTCACATTACTCATCACGCCATCACTAGGAACACAGATCGCCGAGTGCCTGGGTAAGTTCAACACATCTGCAAAGCAATCATGCCCCACGGTTTTTCTTCCTCTTCGAAAGAACCCAGTTTGACCCAGTTAAATGGATCTCTTTTGCGCTGTGGGGTGCATCAAGAGAGCCTGCCTCGGAGCAGATCTCCGAGCCGAAGTGTTCGTCGAGGTCTTTGGTGACTCAACGGTCAATGCAAGTCACTCAAGGCCGCCCACTCTGCTTCAAAGCACCAGCGTGCTGTGGCCACGGCCTTCCGTGGTCCTGCTTGAGTGCTGCCAGCAGAGCCTCCGAAAACATTGTTTCAAGTGGATGGGATAGTTCATGCCACGTCAAATTCAGCTGGGGCACATTTCGCTGCCGGCTTCTTGCAGACCCCCATCTTGGAATCTGTCAGCGCGCCGTGTTCTCCTATGAGCTCCTATTACGCCTAGAACAGTTCAGCTCCCATTGGTCCTAAACAAGCCGCGTGAAGGGAAGGCAGGGTGTCGTGTAGACATTTTGTCCTAATGTCCTGATGCGGGCGCACCGCATAAAATGACGAAGACTGTCCTGACAGACACCATCCTACTTCAGTTCTCTACGTCTTGGATTTTGTGGTTTTGGCAACTCTCGCAACCTGACGCCTAAGAGCCCGGACAGCAACCAGTGTCGCGAGCGATCTGGGTCAATAAGCTTGATCCAGCGCCACGTGCGTTTCCCAGATCACTGACTTTAGCATTGTCCGGCCGGCAGTGCTTCATTGGTATAGGCAGTCGAGGCAGAAGTGTATGTAAACCTTGAGCATGGTGCTGCCCAGGCCCAGCGTTTTGCAGCAGTTCTGCGACATCCTTTTCCAGGTTCTACGGAGACGTTTGGCTTGGCTTGCTTAATGACACTTACACTACTCCGGAACAGCTATCACGCACGCAATGCAACGTGCCATCATCAACATTATGCTGAGTGCAACGAAGATCAACAATCTACAAGTCTGCTGGATTGCAGTCTCTCCTGTTCTCCAATGCAACGATCCTCCTCCCCAATCCTCGCAATCTGCGATCTGACTACGACCTACGATGGGCAGGCATGGCAGGATGGCAGCTCTTAGAAATCCATTCTGGTGCATATTGGCCATATTGCCATCGTGTTTGCGCCCTGCCTTCATCTCCACAGATTCTGCCACTGAGGAATCATCCGCACCCGTTGGGGCACGAAGCTAACAAGCATAAAGGCCAAAGGCACGCGCGGAACATGGAGGGCCACTGTACATGGAGCAGTTTGTCTACTCTCGATCCCTGGCGCGCAATCTCATCTTCCGCTCACTCACGACCTTGAACCCCGAATTCTGTGCAGATTGCAGGAAACTGTTGGCATCCGGCAAATCCTGCACTGGACTAGGTCCAGAAGTATCATCACCTTGCACATGGCTGGCAAGGCCAAATCCTACTTTCCGGTTCTTTACATCATACACTGACACATATTTCCGCAACAGCGGCTGCCCAAGCACCCACACTTGGGGCTTCTCTGGAGGCATATCCATCACAGATATGGAGGCGTCGCAAAACCCGTCTGTTTTGTCAATGTAGTCGGCAGCTGTCAGACTCAGCGACAGCATCCTTGTCCAAAGAAGCAAAACGCCAGGACAACTCCCCAAAGGTACCCGGACCAAAAACGACAAAGCCAGTCACCGGATCTGTCCTGTCGTCAAAACCTTGAATCTTGAACTCAATGCTTGGCAGCTTGTCCAGGGCGCAGTCTTCCTGCTTCAACAAAACGACGTGACCGGAAAGCTCAGGCAAGGAGAGTGGAGTCTTGGAAAGGAGAAGCAGAAACGAGCGCAGGCAGACAGGGAACAAAGAGGTGGGGTTTGTACGCCCTTAAGTGCCCTAATATGGTTATAAGTACAGTTTTAATTGGTTAACAGGTACCATCAACCTCCAAGTAACCGCTTCTGAGATTACATGTTGTATGGAAGTGAGCAAGCAAAGTGTTCGGTGGTAAGCCGGTTGAACCGCACAAGGCCCACATGGGCTGGTCTGCGGCACATCTTGGCGGGAATCTCACAAGCAGGCTGGGCATCGCTGATAAAGGGGCTCCTTCACATCCAAGAGGGCGAGCAGGCGGTTCACAGAGGCCTCCGCTTCCAACTGCTCTCTGCTTATCCCCTCTCTCGAAGATTCTTGGGCTCCGGCCTGTGGACCCATGACGTCACCCGTCCCTGTATCCTGCCATGCCCAAGCAGGGCTCATTCCACAAAACACGCTCATGACTTGCGTGGGTTGTAGTAGAAACTCGGGACGGCACTACAGCTGCGAGGCAGCCAGAGCCACGCTCGCCTCATGTCCGCAACGCAACAGCAAGGCCCACGCGCACCCTCACGACCATCCAAGCGGCCAGTGCAGTTCTGAAGGATTCCATGTCCGCTCACTGACCTGATGCTGCGAGGAAGGAGAACCCTTGTCATTGTGTGCTTGCAGTCTTCAGGCTCACTCTTCAGCCCCGAAAACCCGAGGCCCAACGGAGCTTTCAGAACTTTGAGCAGTGAACTTGTGGTTTACAACACGGCAAGAGGACTTTTAACAGTTTTGGCATGTTTCTGGCATGGAGGGCGACCTGTACTTGCCTGCAAGCAAAATCTGCCGCCACCGGCACTCCAAGCTCTCGTGGAGTTAACTTCCCCGGAAAGCACAGACCCGGAATTCACTCACTTTCTTGGGCTGCATGCCCCATGATGCTCCACGTATGTGTAGCGCTCGGTTTCTTCATCATGGTCAAATTGCTGCCGTAGAAAGATGTGCAAGTCTGCGTCCGACTTGGCCGGAGAAAGCACTTTCCCAAGTCAAAGCCCCGAGATGCCCTGAGCACAGGAGATGAGTGCAAACCTTTGATTTCAACGGTCCTCTAAAAAGCTAAGCAAGATCAAAAGATGGTGACTAAGGACTGTGGGTAGCAAAAGCCAACTTCGAGCCTAAGCAAGCCTCGATCGGGCAGAAGTCTCAGGCCACGGACAGCTGAGGGCGTGGCACGGACACAACTTGCAGCAACCAGTATCCCAACTCCTGCCAGGAATCCAAGAGTTCACTTGGGCTCTGCTTGAAGTCATTAACGAAAGTTGTCCTCAAGAGGCTGCCGCCGGGAACAAGGGGTGTGGAAGACTCGATATCACCGATAACAGGAATCCGAGCCTTCTTTGTGCGAGCCTCTCTTCAGCTTCTTGCTGTAAACCCTACACCCTAAACCCTAAACCCTAAACTCTGTGCTTCGAAGGCTGGCCTCAGCCTCTGCCGCCATCGGGGCCCAGACCAGGCGCCCGGACCTGAACATTTTATGAGACCTTATATGTCGTTGGTATATAGTTAATACTATCGCCGAAGGAAATTCTTAATAAAAGTCTAGAAAAGGTCGTTTAAAAGTCTTTTTGACAAGCCCTCTTCAAAAACCATGGCTTTCAAAAACGTCCTAAAGAGAGTCTTAAACAAAGTCTGGGAAAAGTCTAGAAGAAGTCTAAAATCAGTCTCGGGGAGAGTCTCCTGGCGACCCCCACTCCCCTCCGGAGTCTTTGCCCGAGACTTTTTCTAGACTTTTTGTAGATGTTTCTAGACTTGTCTAGACTTTTTTAGACTTTTTCTAGACTGTTTTTAGACGTTTGCTTGGGAAAAGTCTAATCAAATCTTTCAAAAGTCAAGGAAAAGTCTAAAAAAAGTCTAGGACAAGTCTCGGGCAGAGTCTCCGGAGGGGAGTGGAGGTCGCCAGGACACTCTCCCCGAGTCTTATTTTAGACTTTTTCTAGACTTTTCCCAGACTTTGTTTAAGACTCTCTTTAGGACGTTTTGAATACTTTTTGTTGACTTTTTGAAAGCCATTGTTGTTGAAGAGGACTTTTCAAAAAGACTTTTTTCAAGACGTTTTTTAAAACTTGTTTCATAATTTCTAGTATTTATAGAGTTTACTAGGGAAGCCAACCACATAAGCTTACAGGCAACCCTTTGGGGTTTATAGGGGTTCATAGGTATTTTATAGCGTGTATAGGGGGTTTATCGGTGTTTAGAGGGTTCAGCCTTGGAAACTTTGTTTGGGGTTTCCGCTGCTTTTGCCTAACCTGGGGGTTTAGGGTGGTGGGGATAAGACCTCACTAAACTCAAGTTTTGCCAGAAATGGCTTTGGTTTTTGGAGTTTCTGCTTGAAGAGGGATGTCCAGGGTTTTGGGGCTTTAGGCGTTGAAGCTTCTTGGGGCTTGGGAGGGCTTTGGGTTTCTGACTGGCAAAGGCCGAACCAAAGGCCCTGACTCGACAAGTTGCGACAGCGGAAGTTGCGCAACTTCCGCGGCCAATGCGACCTGCCAACAACATGTCGCATGTCAGCCTAGAAATTAAAACCCTATTGGGACTACTGCAGGAAGGAACCCAGAACTTAGATCAAACCCACTTTATGCCCCCAAGTGCCCGTAAGCCCCTTGCTTCACCAGAGCTTCCTTGCGCGCAGTGAGGCGGGTCCAGTCGAATGGCAAAAGCACCTGAGGCTCTCTGCGGCATGTGGCAGTTGATCTACATGATGAAGTACTGCTTCACTACTAATTGCTTAAGAACCCCTGAAAAAATAAAAAATAAAAAACGATCCTCCTTATAAGGGCAATATAGGGATTTTGGGAGGGGTTCTTGAGCAATTAGTAGTTCAGTATAAAAAATATTTGCCTACGAACTTAGAAGAAAGAATGGGAGATCTCCAAGACGAGTCTGGGTCAACCATGGACAATCTCCATGCGCCAATGGAAGTTGCAAAACTGTGGCTGTGACCCAAGCCAGCCTGATCCGCAAGCACGCGGACAGGGCCTCGGCGGCTGCCAACAGCAGTTTTTGGAAGGTTGAGGGGCTTCTTGGTGTAGAGTTTAGGGGTTGAGGGTTTGAGGTGTTAAGGGTCGAAGGTTTAGGGGTTGGCTTCGGTGCTCGCCTTCGCGACAAGAGCGCTCTGAGACGGTGGCTGTGCCGCGATGGTGCAAGGCCTCAGATGCTCATAATGAAGGGGGCCCATGCTCCGATTCTGGACTATTGGAGCCGGACCAACTGCCTTTTTTGCTATCTGCCACCACGTCCAGGGTATGGAATGTACAGCTCAAATCTTGGCTGTAGGTGTGGGGCTAAGCCTTGGAGTACTTGAAGGTTGTGTGCTACTGCAGGATGTGAAGCATTCAGGCGCAGTGCCTGCTGGAGGGCCTCTGACGCTTGGTCTCCTGCATTGCCATAGGCGTATAGAACAGCCAGATTACTCCACGTGACAGCCGACTCAGGGTCACATTGCAAGCTCTGAGTCAGCGATGCAAGCGCTTGCTCCAGTTGACCTTGCCGTGCCTGTGCCACACCAAGTGCATTCCAGCCGTAGCAATTATAGGGCATACGGTTCAACCCCTCCTGAAGGTAATGGGCTCCGTTCTGATCGGAACCCAGCTGCACCAGCAAGTACCCGAGGTCTGTCATCCACAAAAAGTCGTTGCCATCGTGGAGTCCGATACCGTGCCCATTCAAAATCTTCTCGAAACGCTGGTGAGCTTCTGTGAAGCGGCCTAAGTTGATCAAGATCCGGGCAATGCAGTAGTCAGTGATAGCCTGGTCGTCGAAGATATCCAGGGACTTCTGGTAATAGTGCAAAGCCTCCTCAAGCTCTCCAAGCGCCTGGAGCTCAGAGGCTTTTGCATGTAGCACTTTCACACTTCCGTTCCAGTGCTGAGCATCCTTCAGGAAGAGAACTGCTGGGGACTCCCAATGAGACATGCGGATGTTCGAATTGATTGTATACACTGAAAGACCAGCTGCTGCGACTATCCACGCACATCGCCAGGAGCATCGGCTACCAAGACCGCCTACTACAAGCGACCAGCCTGCCGTTAGCGGATAAAGCAACCGTTCCCCAATTGTTGTACCGACCAGAAAGAAGAGGTTTGACATGGGAACAAATGGAACGACGATGAGGCCGAGCCCCATGAGCACGGAGGGGCACTTTCCGCGCAGACGCATCCCGTGGCATGCCAAGGCTGCCACCGACAAGTAGGCTGCAATGATCAGTTGGAGCCGAAGATCTGCAACAGTTGTCACCATGGGCAAGGATTCGTACGAGTAATCCCATGACTGGTTCCAGGGGAGAACCAGCAATTGCGCGTAGTACCCGTGCTGAAACAGGTACGACAAGGTCCGCACCAGCAATGCTTGAGACTCACTACCATGTAGCCGCGCATCTTGGTAACGTATTGGGGTGTCCACGTAACCGAAGCCTGCATCCGTACCGCCAACGTACCAAGTTCGCAATCCTGCTATGGCAGCAAAGGAGGCCAGCAGACCAAGGACGTGCCCCCACCTGCATCGCAGCGCTGTTTCCACGCAAGCAACGAAAAACAAAGCAGTGAAGCCTGGTTCCTTACAGAGCCCCGACAGAATGTTCAACACCGCCAGAACAGCATAGAACCACAAAGCCCGCAGCGGACTCAGGGTACTGGTCCTCAAGCTGCGCAAGTAGAAGAGAATCGCGAGCAGGTAGAAGGTAGTAGATAAGGAATCCGCACGCCCCACCAAGTACACGATATTTTCAATGTGTACAGGATGTGTAGCAAACAATGCCGCCGCCAACCCAGCCCACCGCAGTGGTACTCGTGCCTGAAGCAAGACAGCAAGCATCAACGCGGCATTCAGACTGTGAATCAGGCAACTAAGAAGTCGCATTGGCTTCATTTCCAAACCGGCGTAGCCAGATCGAGCGCAGAGCTGCCACTCTGCAGCATACATCAGGGTTATCAGAGGACGCCAAGACTTGTGGGTGATGTAACCCTCTGGTGGATTGAGAGATGTTCCCCAGAAGTCGTGCTTAAGCACCTCAAGAACAGACGTCTCTCCTCGGGCATCAGGATTCCGATAAATGGCGAAGCCTTCGTCCACGAACCAACTTCGGTAGCGCACACATACATAATAGGGAAGCGTCAAAGACACAACAATCGCATATGCCACGATCAAGTGCCGCTGAGAGTGCTGCAACTTCCTTTTGGCTGTCTGTCCGTTCCTGGGGGACGGTTTCGCCCTTTGTGCCTTCGAAACTCTGTCGCAACATTCCAGGAGCTCTGCAGCTAATGATCGAGCAACCGCA